AGCAGTAGACGCCTTCAATGATCCAACTTCCTGCTCAATCATTGACCACTTCCTCTCCAAAAAAGGTAAAGGTCGAGTAAAAAATGTTCAGATAATATAGCGATAGGTCCTGATGTGTCACGAAGTCTAAAAAACACTGAGGTAATGGGCAATAAAAGGGATTTTACAAAAATACTTGCGGGGCTAACAAAGTGGAATTAAGAGAGGTAAGTACAAGGGAATTGATTTGGAGAACACAGTTAAGCCTTTATTTAGAAGTTACAAGGACGAAAACCGGATTCCTCGTCATCGTCACTTCCCGTCTTGCAGCGGGAGGATGCATCGTCAAGAAAATCGGAGTCAAACAGATCAACGTCATGAGTTGTCAAAGGAGTTGTCACTGTCACTTGAATTGATGAAAACGGAACCCACCTCCAATAGACTCTTCTCGCCTAAAATGTCATTCGAAGGATCGTATAATGTGTGAAGAATAAAGCACTTACAGCCTCATTTTCATTTATGCTTACGTGCATAAGCTAGTGAGTGTATGCACGGTGCTCAGACCTAGTCATTCTACAGAGGTTGAAAATCAACAAGCCGAGATTGTCAGGTGTGCTGTGGGTCAGGTATACCGGATGAATTAAGGAAAGATGAACAGACAGTAGCCTGTCAACGAAGCCAAGAAACTCCCCATCCACTGGATACCTATGTCTATCGGATGTCCATGCCTACTCGTCCACACAGAACACTTCAATGCTGCTGTTCTCAATGATGGTTGGGAGGTTCTGCGTTGAGTCAATGTATGTGACAAAAGTAGAGAGTGACATTTCATTTCACAATCGGTGGCACCACCAATGAAAAAGTGCATCAGAATGTGTCAAAGACGGTTCAAACACAATGACAACTGTTGCTACCCAAAAGCAACTTTGCGAGGAGCACCAACACACCAACACTTTTAACTACCCAAAATGTACGGCCACTAATGCCTTTGCATCACAGCAACAAAACAATTTGTGCAAAAATCTTGCCTGTTCACGTGTCAGCTTTTGGAAATCAGGTCTGCCCAAAGGGCACTTTGTGCCATTACGCACTTCAACAGGACTGTGTGGGTTAAGGCGTCAACCCTTATTCCGAAGAATAGAAAGCAGTGGTTTATTTTCTGTTCTTTCGTCAAAACTATTTACACCAATACACAATCCAACTCGTTCATGCTCTTCTTCCACCAAATGCCAAAATCTCATAAGTAAGCAATGGCCAAAGTAGCTCCTTAATTTGCTTAAACACCCAATTCGTCGGGCCTGAGAGCGATGCCGTATTAGCTGGCATCAGGCCTACGGCATTCGCAAAACCTCACAATTTACCACAAACAAGATAAAGCCATCAAATGAAACCATGACTAGCATTAGTAGCAACACATGCAAAGAAATCACAGCAGACCTACCGCTTTTCGGCAATATCGAGGGAGAATGGGAGTCGTGGAAGCGACACCGAGCCATCAGATGTAACAAGACTGAAGTCGTTCAAATGTAGGTCAATCTAAAAGGACAGAACCAAGTAAGCGTCAAGTGCAGTCCATCATCCTCAATGGGGTTCAGTGCCTAAGCGGTGCAACTCAGGCATTGTGGCCATCGAATTTCTCCTACTTCACTATTCAGCCCACGGATGGAAAGTGCTATTCTGGTTCGGAACCTGGAAGCCGCGCTCCTCCCACCTCCGTCATGAACGTTCCGACAACACTTCAATCCCATTCACCTGCTACCAAATCAAAACCCTCACTTAAAATATCCCATATGCAACCTATTTTGTCCACACATGTTAAAATTGTCACACTACCATGGCTACACCAACTTCTTTATTACTTAGCTCTATCTCGTAAGGATGCACCTCAGCTCCAATCACACTGTAGGGTGAACAGAGCGGAACAAAGTGGTGCACCAATTTCTCTCAACTTCGGGATACTCTCGAGGAATCGATTGCCGAAAACACACTCAGCGAGAAAGTCAGAATCCCCATGGAATGTGTGAAATAATTCGATGGTCCATGGAATACCCAAACTTCATCACACGTAGCCCACCCTTCTTGAAATATCCGAATGCTTCCCTTCTAATCACGATAATCCACTTTACTCCGACATGCCAAATTTGACGTCTCTGCGCATGACAGTTTGGAGAGTCCTACATTTCTACCCACATTTCACATTGTCACCACTCTTCAAACGCTGGCGAATATTCAGCTTACCCCACGACTCAAATCACACCTCCAAACTTGCACACGCACACACACAAATGCACAGGGGCGTTCAATGACTCACCGTGGTTAATAGATCAGAGAGATGCATCTGTGTTATAGGTAGAGGTGGTAGCCTCGTCACCATCTCCCCCAGCCGTGCAACTTCATCCGAGAGATTTTCCAACGAATTCTGCTTCACCATCGCTTCTCGCAAATTCTGTAACACCAAAATAAAAGCATTTAGAGAAGCATGAAATGGATGAGAAGCGAGAAATACTGAGGAGCAGTAGCAGCAACGATAGCCAGCTAGTTTAATGGTATCTCCACTCACTGTGATTTCATCCAGCCTTGCGTACACATCTTCAATCTTGCCCACCTCAACTAAGAGGCCTCTCATCCGTCCCACGAGTGGGCCTATTATCTCTTCGCCTGCCTCAACCATCGTCTCCACTTTCGCCATGGTAGTATCCAGGGCTGTGTTCGCCGCCAAGTACAGCTGCAGCACCGCTTTATCCAAGGCATCAATCATCTCATCCTTTGCCTTCTTTTCCATCTTCAACGTTGGTGATTTCAACTTCAAGGCGGCCAATTGACGAGGTAGGTCATCCAACTTGGCGTGCAGCATCAGGATGTACTATATGAAGGAAGGGAAGAGAGGCAGAAACACTGCGTAGAGGTTCGCTGCCAACCTCATACAACCCAAGTGACATGGCTGAATCGACTCACAGCACAAACAATGAACACAACGACCAAGTGTACATAATAAAGGAATCAAGTCGCCAATGTCCCCTGTGAACCGTCGTATATGTGCAACGCAGACCATCATTTCAACTCATACCACCCAGAAAAACGCCTCAAAATATCCTCCCTCGACCTACTCAATAGGACAACAATTGAACAGATTTGACTGAGTGGAGGGGAAGTAGTGAACTAGTCCTCCACAGTTGCTCATTACAACGGCAATATGACGGCAGACACCATCATGTAACATTGTGTGTTTCCTCGTCTTGCACTTAACCAAACCTATGTACTACCTCCTTACAAATGATGCCTCCAAAATGTCCCTACTTACGAATTGCAGTCATTTTAGATACACAAAACCTTCCCAAGTAACTGAACAAGTCAACCATATGCGGTGAATACGCCAAAATGAAATGGTGCACAGCTGACACAGGACCCTGCCAACGAACAATGGACCCACTCATTCAAACCGTGTTTAGGCAGGTGGTTCACAACTTGCAGAAAAAAGGGTGAAAATTGAACCATAATTTAAACAGCACTGGCGTTTACATTGTCGCGGTGGTTCTCACGACACTTTGGACAGATGTCACGGTGACAATGGTGGCAAAAGTTCAGCAGTCTAGCCTCGACTGGCGTCTGACAGGTGCTGCAAGTTTTGGACAAGGGTGATATCTCCTCCGTCCGCTTCGCACACATCGATGTCTTCTCTTTCACCCTCCCTTTTTCTTTCCGCCCCTGCTGCTCCTTCTGCTTCTCATTCTGCTTTAGCTTCTGCACCTGCTCTTGTTGCAAGGAGTGGAGACAGTGCTGCGCACCAATGTCGTGGCTAAAATGCAATTTAGTTGCTTCAAACGCCACTTGATAACGTATGAAATGTTCTTTCGGGGCTCTTGTGTTACCACTGGGCGTGCAACTCCTCTCATTCTGACGTAACCTTCCTCGTTACTCACACGTAGGTGGACTCAATTCGCCGGTCAACAGTGGTGTCTACTGATTGAAGAATAGCAACCATCGCGAATACCGAAGTGACTTTGACATGACCGCCAAATACAAACTTTCGCCCAACATTTGCACTGCCTTTCTAACTCCTGAGAGTAAACTAGCTGTGAGGATCTACCTTGAACGAATTTCATGGGTGTTCAAAACACGTCAGCATGAAAGGACATGTCTCCACTTTCCTACTTTCCACCCCTACACGATGATGGCAAAACAGGAACCTATAACAGATTACATACCGAGTTTCCAGTTTGTCCGTA